TCGCAGCAGCGCCGCCGAAAGCACAACCAATTCCGACAACGGACAACACGGCGACGGCGCAAGTGACGACTGCAAGTACGATGTCGGAAGGCATTTGGACTTCGACGTCGACGACGAATCTGCCATCGAGCATTGGGGCAGCTTCATTCGCGGGGCCACCGCGCCGCCTCAGACCTTGCGACGCGCGCGCGCGCGTAGAGGAATTCGAGGTGAATTTCATTGCGCCAGGTGCGCGCGTGGAGATGGGCGGGGCGAGTTGCCGCGCGATCACGCCACAGTCGGGCCCGACTTGCAGAGGCGCGGGAACCTGGCGCCCACGTCCCCCAGGCAGCACAACGCCGAGGCGGTGGACGGCGAAAACAGTGGAGCGACGACACAACAGGACTCTTACAGGAGATTCTGGGTTGACAGCGCATACGGCACAATGCTGCAGCGCGCCGCCGATTCCAAATCGTTTGGGGGACCTCGACAGCGACTTCCTGACATCTACGCGCTTGTGACCAGGCCCCAGCCCACCCGCGCCGCCCCCGAGCAACCTGCCGGCCAGCTGGCCGGCGGACTTCGCGCGGCCGCGCCGTCTGCGTTTGCGTCGCAACCGCCCCGCGCGCCCACCCGCAGCCTGGGCTGCAAAATCCAAGCGGCGGCGATTGCGGAGATTGCCAGGTGCCAGCTGGCGCGCCGCCGCGATCGCGCTGGCGCGCGCGCGCGGCGGCCAGCTAGCCGGGCGCGGCCGGCGCGGCCGCGGCGGCGCTGGCCGCCGGGCACTTCCCATCGAGTCTCGCAGGCCGCGCGGACGAACGGGCGCTGCAGCGCGAGTCGGCGGCTCCGGCGGGCGCGGTTCCACGCCGACGTCGACGGCGGCGGCGGCGGGCGCGACGATGACATCGTCGACGCTGGCGGCGACGAGGGCGATAACGACGGCAAGGGCATTGAAAGCGCCGATGTCGCGTCGCACCAGCGACACTGATGGCGCCCGCGCGTCGGCGGCGGAGGTCGCGGAGGGATTTCGACGCGCGCGCGGCCGATGGGCGCGAGTGGTCCGCGCGGCATTGCTGGATGAGGATCGCGCCCCCCCATCGAGCTCGCAGCGTCGCTCGAGTGATTCTGACACGCTCGCGCGAGAGGCTCGCCTCGTCGCGCGCGACGAAGACGTCGAGTCGAAATGTCCCGCGCAGAATTCGCAAAAGCGCGCGTATTCCTGCATTGGAAAACCACGTTGTAAAACATCGTGTGCCCGTGCATTTCCGAGGCCCTCGATTCTAGCCCCCCTGCCAGATTGGCGCGCGCGACGCGTCATTTTTGCGCGGGTGCTTGTGCGCGTGGACATTGCGGGATAATCGCGCGCTCATGGTTTTAATTGACGGCGTTCTTTTGGAGGGGCGGCTCGGCCAGGACGACGCGAGCTCGCATTCAGAACGGACGACCGGGCACATTCGCGCGAAAACCGCACATACCCAGGTGGAACATAGATAAGCCATGTGCGGGGGGGTCCGTATCTTCGGTTTGACGGAGAACTTCGCGCTGCTATCTGTTTGGCGCGATCTACGCGGCGCAACCCTGCGGCGCTGCCGGCCGCGCCTAACTCGAAGCCGGCAACTTTGCTGCTCGCGCAATCACCCCGCGCATCCACCCGCAATTTGATGTGCAAAACCCACGCGGTGGCGATTTCTACGACGGCTGCGGCCAGCGCAGCCGGCGGCGCCGACCGCTGGCACCTCCCGGCGCACCTCGCAGGCCACACTGACGCGCGGGCGCTTCTGCCTGAGCCGGTCGACGGCAGACGCGCCGACGATTGTCGCGACGCTGGCGAAGACGGCGACGAGAACGACGGCAAGGCCAATGGCGGCAGCGCTCGGGCGATGGAGGTTCCGGGGGGATTTCGACGCGCGCGCTCGGCCAGAGCGCGCGAGTGGCCCGCGCTGCGTTACTTGACAGGGATCGCCCCCCCCCCCCTCGCGCGCGCAAGAGCGCCCGAATGATTTCGACGCGCGCGCGCGAAAGGCCGGCTTGGTCGCATGTGATGGGCCATGTTTGAAAACCAGCGGTTGCTCCAGAACATGCAAGAGCGCGCAGATTGTTGTTTGGAAAAATCAGGTTGCAAAACAATACGCGCTGCGTTTCCAGGACGCCCGACACCCCAATCGTCGCGAACCCACCAGTGGTGGCAGGGTTCCAAAACGCGCGCGCGACAACGCGCGCGCGCGCTTCGCCCATGTCTCGTTGCAAAGAGTTTTGAGAAGCGACGGCTCGTGATCAACGCGTGCGCGCGCATGGAATTATTGCGAAGATCGGTTGGGATGGCATGAGTCCATATTCTGAATGAACGCTTGGGCTGGACCGCGCGCACACTGCGCGCCCCCAGAGTGCGTCGATAGTCCCGGGGGGGGGTCCAAGCCTTTTCCAGGAGAAGACCCAGCGACAAACTATCATCTACGCGGTGCAATTCATGTGTGTTCGCGCTGTTCGAAGTAAGTCGCCAGCTGCGTTGCCCGCGCAATCACCCAATCCGCGCGCCCGCATTTAGGTCTGCAAGACCCCGGCGGCGGCGATTGCGATGACTGCCAGGCGCTGGCTGGCGAGTCGCCGCGGTCGCGCTGGCGCGCGCGGGGGCGCGCGCAGGGCGGCCAGCATGTCTGGCGCGACCGACGCGGCCGATGATTTATGATTGGGCGGGTTTCGCCGCGCGCGCGGCCGACGGGCGCGAGTGGCCCGCGCGGCGCGATTTAACCTGGGCCGCGCGCCCCCCCCCCCCCCCATCCCCACCCCCCAGCGCGCGCGCAAGGGCGTTCGAATGATTTCGAAAGCGCGCGCCAGAGGCCCGCTGGGTCGCTGGTCGCACTTGAGCAGCAAATGTTGAAAACAAAAAATCTGCAGTGCAATCTACGTTGCGCAAGTGATTCTGATTTCCCCATGCGCGACCACCTCCCATGCTCGCGCAAACATCCCACCCGCCTGCCGGCGACTTGGTCTGCACAACCCACGCGATGGCGATTGCGATGGTTGTTTCGCGCTGACTGGTGCGTCGCCGCGACCGCGCGAGCGCGCGCAGGCTCGCCCAAAAACCGGCCGGCTAATCTGGCGCGATCTGGCGCGGCCGCGATGGCGCTGACCGCTCGGAATAGCCCAGCGCGTCTCGCAGGCCGCGCTGACGCGCGCGAGCATCGCTGCGAGTCGGCGATACCGGCGGGCGCGATATCATGGCGACGTCGGCACTGGCAGACATAATAGTGGCGGGTAGCGATGTTGGTGGCGATGATGACAATTACGACGGCAACGACAATGACGGCGTCGATGCTGATCACGCCAAAGATCATGATGGTGTCCTCGCGTCGGCGATTGACAGTTTTGGAAAGATTTTGACATGCGCGCACGGCCGGCGTGCGCGACTTGCCCGCATGGGATTATTTTACAGGCGTCGCGTCGCCCCCCCCCAACATGCGCCCAAGGACTTACGAATGAATTTGACATGTCCGCGCGAGAAGCCCGTGGGGTCGAATTTGATGAAATTGTTGAAACCGACGGTCTTTTTAAGAATTCGCTACACGCGCGTGCATACCTCATTTGACAACTCGCGTTGCACAACCATGGTTTTTGAACATATGTTTTCGGGACTCTCGATGTTGACGTCCGTACGATATCTACGGTTTTTGATGGTTTTCCGCATGCGCGCGACGACGCGCGCGTGTGTATATCGTTCCGTTATATTACGCAACGCATTATTGCAAGTGGCGGTTTTGATTCGCGAATGCGAGTTATAAAAAATATTCCACGAGGACGAAAAGGAGTCGGCGCTGGCTTTGTTGGAATTGTATGAACTGATCTTCAGCTTGAACGATGGGGCTGGATCATATGTAAATTGCACGTTTCTGGGGCGGCGGTACACGTATACATGGCACAAACCAGCGCAACGCAATGCGAATAAATGCAAAACAACGCAAAGACACGCGAGACAAAACAAAGCAACAAAAACATAGCACCACAAAACGAAACAAGCAATGCGAAGCACGGCGCAGCAATGCGACTTCTACCGGGTGAGGGGTCGGCGGCGACGAGGCGGCGACGGCGCGGCGACTGCGATAATGAGGAGGCGGACTCGGCACCAAAGCCCAGACGACGGGCGCCGACGACGCGGCGACGGGGCGGAGACGGCAAAAATGAGGCGGCGAACCCGGCACAGGAGCCCAGACGACGGGCGGCGATGAGGCGGCGACGGGGCGGCGATGGAAACAATAAGGCGGCGGACCCGACACTGGAGCCCAGACGACGGGCGCCGACGGCGGCGACGGCGACAAGAAGGCGGCGGACTCAGCACCAGAGCCCAGACGACGGGCGCCGACGGGGCGGCGACAGAAACCACAGGGCGGCGAACCCGGCACCGGAACCCAATTGTTTGGACGGGGAGTCAGAATTCCTATGTGCAAGCATTGCTTGGGGAATGAGGCCGTCCGTGATATTTGGCTCTTCGGGCTCTCCTGAACGGTCGGGTCTCTCTTGGGCCGTGTCGGGACCCTCTTGTGAGACCATTTGGATCTTTTTGGGGAGTCCTCTTTCGGGCCGTCTTGAGACCCTCTTGGCCGTCGTCTCGAGCCCGTCGAGGAGGCAATCTTGGATCCATCTCGGACGAAGAAGCCCACGGGAGACGCAGTCAGCGGTTTAGGCCCGAGGCCACCGGGATGTTCTTCGAGGGGCCAAGAAGAGTCATGAAGTCCCGCGCGCCCAGCATCCCTCCGGCAAGCTGTGCAGGCGGAGGATCGGAGTCAGGAGGGGAAAAAACACACAGACACAAGTAATCGTCGATTCCCCAGAAAATATGGAAAATATGGGAAGTGGGGGAAGACAAAAACCCAGAAAATGTGGGAAAATATGGGGGATCCTGTTATTTTTGTGCGTATTGATTTGTGTGCCCCAGGGCCCCTTCACAGAGGCGTTCTTCGCTCTCGACAGACCCGCTCCTTGGCTGGCCGTCGCTCGGCACGCATGCTCTCCCGCCTCGCTGCCAGGACACCATCAAGATCCTCAACAGCGACGAGGCGCCGCGCGGCTCTCGTGGCACGCGGCGCCTGGCAGGATTCGGGAGATCCTGCGCGCGCTGCTTTTCTTCCCTCCGCGGGCAGCTTCGCCCCACGATGCATCACTTTTCACATGTCTCGCATTGCATGAATCCAGACACAGATCCTAGAGGCCATGGCCTCACCCACCTGGTCTGGTTTAGGCCCGGACGCTGTCCGCAACGGTGGTCGCATCGCATCGCATCGCATCGCATCGCCCTCCGATGGCCGCCATCTCTCTGCGACGGCGCGGGCTCGATCCCCTGTGGTCGTACAATCAAGGGAGGAAAAGATCCCCCGGACCCGATGATTGGCGTTTGCTGAACGGCCCTGGGCGTCTGCTAAACAGCCCTGCCCTGTTTGGTTCCTTCTTTGGGTGCGTTTGCTGAACGGCTTCGCTTGTCGGGGTGGTTCTTATGGGTTTGGATTGTTTGCCTTCTATACAAGGGTCTGGGGAATGTTGCCAACACGCTACACTTCAGCCGTGTCCTGCATGCCGCTCCGATTGCTGGCACCTCCCCCATCCCCGCGCCGGCGCAGATTGGCTCCCCGTTCGCGGGTTCTCGAGGTCGGCAGATCTGATCGAACCACCACACAGATACTAAAGTATTGGTCTTAAGTCGGGCCTGTCCCTCTACAGGAGGAATATTCAAAAATAATAAAACAATAGCCTGGAAACATGTTGTGAGGATTTGCTTTAGCAGTTTTGAATAGTTTTAGATATTAAATAACAAAATCATCCGAAATCCCTTTGTAGGGGGACATGCCCGACCTAATACTGGTCGACGGACGCCAACCGTACGCCTACGCGGATCCAGGCCAGGCCAATCTTGGGCTCGGGATCGGTGTTTGCGCCCCCCTGGCCAAGCCAGGGAAGTGTGTACGCTGGTCTTGGGCACACGGAAACCTGACCAGCATCAATGTGGGCTGACAGTCCGCGCGCTCCGAGCCGGTGCCGTTATCCATCTGTGGCCATTCCGCCGGCGCAGTCCTTCAAGATGTTCTTGAAGACGACCAAGGGTTTCGTCGAGGCGACCTTGGCGGGGTGGCCTTCTCCCCCCCTCCCGGCCGCACGGGGGGGGGTGGGCGCGGCGCCAACGCGTGCGCTGCGCTCGCAGGGGCAGGCCGTTTCGGAAGGGGAGGAGGAGAGACTCATCCTCCTCCTCCTCCTCCTCCTCCTCCTCCTCCTCCTCCTCCTCCTCCTCCTCCGCCTCCGCCTCCTCCTCCTCCTCCTCCTCCTCCTCCTCCTCCTCCTCCTTCCTCCTCTTGCTCCTGGAAGCTGGACACGGTGAACGAGTTCGGGACGGCGGAGGTCGTCCAGGAGGGCTTGTGTGACGACGAGAAACTGGACACGGTGAACGAGTTCGCGACGTCGGAGGTCGTCGATGCTGGCTCGTGATTCGAGGAGAAGCAGTGCGGGTTTGTCGTTTGTCACGTCGCGTCGGATGTCACCGTCGGGGACTCGCAGTCCGAGGGGCTCGAGGAGGACGTGGGCCACGTGATGCCCTTGCTGGTGCAAGGGCTCGTCGTGCAGCGTTCGGGGTCCGAGTAGGAGACCTTGCTCGGCTCCTCCGCAGTCCAGGCCAATGTACGCAAGGCGTTCGCAGGAGTGCTCGATTCCCAGAGGGTGCTTGTGGTCGAGACGCTGGCAGGCGTCACGGGGGCTCCCAGGTGGGCGAGGGGCTGGGACTGGGAGCCTCGAGGGGCGCGGCAGGGGGCCTGGTCGAGGACTGAGTTCTGAAGAGGGCGAGCGGTTCGGGGGGGGGGGACCCACGCGTTGCTTGCGTTGGTTTTCGCCCTCCCTGCCTCGCGGGGGGGGGGGGGGGGGCAACGCCAGGGCGTTTGGCGCTGGCCAGGTTCTTGCTGGCACACAGGGGGGTCTTTCCCCCCCTTCGCTGGACGCGAGTGAGCTTGCTCGGCTCCATTATCCCATTTGCCTTAGTTGCCTCCTCCTCCTCCTCCTCCTCTCCTCCTCCTCTCTCCTCCTCCTCCTCCTCCTCCCCCTCCTCCCTCCTCCTCCCCTCCTCCTCCTCCTCCTCCTCCTCCTCCCTCCTCCTCCCTCCTCCTCCGCCCTCCTCCTCCTCCGCCCTCCTCCTCCTCCTCCGCCCTCCTCCTCCTCCTCTGCCCTCCTCCTCCTCCTCCTCTTCCTCCTCCTCCTCCTGCTCCTCCTCCCTCCTCCGCCGCCCCCTCCTCCTCCTCCTCCTCCTCCCCCTCCTCCGCATCCTCCTCATCCTCAGGGAAGGGGGAGGCGAGGGGAGGGGAGGGGAAGGGAGGGGAGGGGAGGGGGAAAGGGGAGGGAGGGAGAGGATGGCTCGGCCTGGCCCGGCCATCTCGGGAAATGCACCACGCGCGAGCAGCAGCGGAGGGAGCGCCGCACTCTGAGAGCACGACGGTCCAAGCCGCCCGCTATGCGGGTTCTTCTTATTTCTGAGGACACGAACTTGGAGGCAGTGGAGTGAAAGTCGCCAAGCTTGGGAGAACCAGTACCCCCCTACCGCTTGGCTGATTGAACACCCGCCCTCCACCACCCCCACGGGGAGGTGCGATGCGGGACGAGGGACAAGCCGGGTACGCTCGCGCCACGTCTGACGTGGGAGGGAGGAGGTTGGAAAGGGGAGGAGGAGGAGGAGGAGGAAGAGGGAGGGCGAAACGAAGATGTTTGTTTAGAGCCCCAGGCCTTCAGGCAATACCATCATGAGGTACCCCATTTCAATTTCAATTGGCTTCGCAAGGTACTTCATTGGACGAGCAGCACACACATCAAAATTGCGTATCGACGTTCGGTTTTGAGCAGGCCTCCATCTTCTGTCAATTCAGTTTGCCTTTTCCTGTTCCCATCGCCTTTCTGCGCGTGGCAAGGTATATACATGTAAGTATAGGGATGTTGCATGTCGATCCGCTGATATCATTCGTTTTGCACGCCTTGGACAAAACCCTCACAGCTCGTGTGTGTCTGAATCGCGCTATTGGGCGACGGGTAGGACCAGCAGTTCGTCGAGCAGAGCTCCGCGTTCGTTCAAACTGGTGCAGCGAGCAAGGAGGCGTCGTTGTCTCTGTTGCGCCGTAGTTTGACAACGAGATGGCAGAACAGCGATGCGGAAAACGAAGGATAGCGCAGGCTGGTGTCGAAGGGGCGATCAAGCGGACAGTTTGCAGCATCCTAGAGGAAGAGAAGGAGAAACAGGAAATGGAGTATGACGAGGATGGCGCCGGCGACGACGCCGCCGACGACGACGACGATGATGATGAGGATGATGATGATGATAATGATGAGCATGATGAGCATGATGATGATGATGATGATGATGATGATGATGGCGATGATGATGGTGATCACGATGATGATTGTGGTAGTGTTGACGTTGCTGCTGATACTGATGGCGGTGATAACGAGTATGATGATAGCGGTGAAGTGATGACGAGGACGACGATGATTCAGCTCATGATGATATGAATGATGTTGATGCTAATGATGGTATTGATGATGATGAGGGTGATGATGATGGTGAAGCTGGTGATGTACCGGTGGTGGTGATGAGGTTGGCGATGAGGATATAACATATATGATGATGATGATGATGATGATGATGATGATGATGATGATGATGATGATGATGATGATGATGATGATGATGATGATGATGATGATGATGATGATGATGGTGATGGTGATGATGGTGATGGTGATGGTGATGGTGATGGTGATGGTGAGGATGAGGATGAGGATGAGGATGAGGATGAGGATGAGGATGAGGATGAGGATGAGGATGAGGATGAGGATGAGGATGAGGATGAGGATGAGGATGAGTATGAGGATGAGGATGAGGATGAGGATGAGGATGAGGATGAGGATGAGGATGAGGATGAGGATGAGGATGAGGATGAGGATGAGGATGAGGATGAGGATGAGGATGAGGATGAGGATGAGGATGAGGATGATGATGATGATGATGACGATGACGATGTGGATGTGGTTGAGGATGGAGATGAGGATGAGGATGAGGATGAGGATGAGGATGAGGATGAGGATGAGGATGAGGATGAGGATGAGGATGTGATGAGGAAATGAGGTCTGAGGTGGAGGGATGAGGAGGATGAGGATGAGGATGAGGATGAGGATGGGGATGGGGATGAGGATGAGGATGAGAATGTGGATGAGGATGAGGATGAGGAAGAGGAAGAGGATGAGGATGAGGATGAGGATGAGGATGAGGATGAGGTTGAGGATGAGGATGAGGATGAGGATGAGGATGAGGATGAGGATGAGGATGAGGATGAGGATGAGGATGAGGATGAGGATGAGGATGAGGATGAGGATGAGGATGAGGATGAGGATGAGGATGAGGATGAGGATGAGGATGAGGATGAGGATGTGGATGAGGATGAGGATGAGGATGTGGATGAGGATGAGGATGAGGATGAGGATGAGGATGAGGATGAGGATGAGGATGAGGATGAGGATGAGGATGAGGATGAGGATGAGGATGAGGATGAGGATGAGGATGAGGATGAGGATGAGGATGAGGATGAGGATGAGGATGAGGA